AGGCCAGAGGCTCAGGGGCGGTGAGAGGCTTCACCAGAGACAGAGTGGGGAACAGAACAGGCAGATCGACGAAGTACACTGCTGAGGAGAGCAGCGAGTGGGTCAGGAGAGGTCTGCCACGCCATGTGGTCACCTCCGGGTCAGGCGGGAATCGAACTCATGCAGAAGTGGCTTTAGCTTCTCAGTGCTGTGCTTTAACCCGCTGCGCCACCATGGAGGGCCTGTATTGATATATTTAAGCAAATTTTAAAGCCTCTTTGGCTCATAGGTTACTTATAAATATATTGTTTAAAGTCCAAATATTTGGAGATTTTCTTGTTTTTGTTTTTTCTCTGTCATTGACTTGTAGGTTGAGGCCCTTGTTGCCAGAGATCATAGTCTGTATTATTTCAGTTCTTTTAACTTTCTTGAGGTTTGTTTTACGTTTCAGGATACAGTACCTTGGTATATTTTGTGTGGTCATTTGAAAAGGATTTTCTTTGTTGGGTAGAATATCCTATCCCTGTTGACTGACTGGATTCTGTTGGTTGACGGTCATGGTAAGTTTTTCTCTGTTTTCAAAGATTTTATGATGGTTCTCCCAGTTACCAGGAGAGGAAATATTGACATCTCCATTTATAATCGTGGATCTTCTTTCAGTCAAAAATGTGATCATTTTCATTGCAACCATCAAATCGAATCCAGAAAGCTCTAGCAGGGAAGGAAAACCCAGCTTTCTCCATACCTTTGCTGGCTGCAAAGCCCCTTTCTGGCGCCCTCCTCTCAGTGACCCCTTTTTGTTGACAGGGCTCTCGGTGGCTGTTCTCCCAGCACAGGTCTGCTGGTGACAAGCATCGCTGCTGGGGGCACACTGCCCTCGCGACAGGTGGAGGCACATCACTGCTCCATCCTGGCCCCTCACCCACACTGGATGAGGGGGTGGCATCCATTGCTGGATGGAAATCTACCCCCATCTCTATGGCCTTCCTGACACCACCACCAGGCACAAGGGACAGAGGGTGTGGGCACCTTATCAGCATTGATGGGGGGCATGTTTTTTGGCCCCTGCTGCATGGAACAGGGCGATGTCACTGTCTGTGGTGTTTGCCTGTAGGAGGGCCAGCTCGTCTACACCGTGCTGTCTGGGTGGGCATCCTTTCTTGGGTCTTTGGCTGGAGAGAGCAGGAGTCTCTTGGTGCTTCTGCCTTTGCAGGTTGTTGCCTTCCTCAGCAACAAGACTGGGGTGAATGAGGAGAGAGTCCATCCCAGCCTCATTTCTTGGGAACAAAGTGCCCTGGCCAATTAGCCACTCTACCTTCGAGTCTGAAAGTTTGTTTTATAGACAATGGGCATGTGTGTGGGTTTGCTGATTTAGCTGGAGATGTAAAGAACACATACCTACTCCCTTTTCCTGGGTGTAGAGCTTCACATCTTTACCTAAACAACATTTTGTTCTTCTCTTCTCCTTCCTCCTCTCTCTCGCTCCTCTTGCTCCAGGCCTCTTCCTCTCCTTTCTTCCTTTTTTTCCTTGCTTCTCTGTTCTTTGTACAGAGAAAGTGCATCTTTGGGCTGTGGGCTCCAAAGCAAAACCTCTAGATTCAGAGCTCTGCTCTCCCCACTTGTCTCAGCCTGTAGGGGCTCAGTCTCTTCGTAAAGTGGGCCTAATCTTTGTGCAGGTTTCCCCTGCTAGCCAAAGGTAAAATGTGCCTATTGGTCTGATTTCATCGGTTATCTGTAAGTTTAGGAATGTTGTTGCCATTAACATAGATGGAAAAATCTGAGCATTCCCAGACCCCAAAAATAACCTTCTAAAGCACAGCAAGGTTGGGATGTTCTACCTGTGGACAGTGAAGGCACCTGTGCTGGCTTCACAGTGTAATGGCATTACCATGGCATAATAAACAACACATGCTTAGTTCAGGTTCACCATCATGGTCTTGTTTACTTTTCTGAGCCAAAGCCCACAAGAGAGTGGACAGGGCGGTGTGGAGTGCAGGGCCCAGGGTGTGGTCATGAGAAGAGAGCAGGGTGGGGCTGCCCTTCCCCTGCACAGCTTCATGCCAGAGTTTGAGCGGAAGAAACAGTTTGGCTGACTCTGAGTCCAGGCCTCCTTGCCAGACCCCGTGAGTGTAAGTGCAGGTCCTTCCCAGGGACCTAGGGAGCAGGCATGAGCCAGGGTCTACCTTCCAGTGCAGGGGTGTTCACACTGCAGACGCAGCCAAGAGGGGTGAAGAGGGAGGACAAAGGAAATGACCAAGGCACCCAAAGACCCTTCCTTCTTTCCCTTTTTCTCCAAAGGTATCCCTGACTACATAACCCGGTGTAAACAGGCCATTGGGAAATTCGAATCGCTTGTGCACCAGATCCACAAGAATGCAGATGATATCACTTCCAGGCTGACATTGATGGAGTCCATAAATCTCTTTAAGTTTCCGATATCTAAGAGTGAGGATGACCTCCCAGGTGGGTCTGGCTCCTGGCCCCTTTGTTAATGGAAGGAATGAGAAGACATCTTGCTTGGGATTGCATATGCACATGCCCATGCTCACTCTTACACACACACACTCACAATCCACACACTGAACACCTGTGTGCCCCCTGTCACACAATCCACACACTCTCACACCCACACTCTCACACACCCACACTCATATGTCTCCTCACAGAGACACCCCACCCCCCATCCCCATGGCTGTTGAGTAGAATAAAGCCATTCCTAGTGATCTTAATCAGTTACTTGCACTGGCCTTGGGTAATTGTTATTTTTGTCTGTTTATATATTGCTTAGATAATGTCACAGCTTCCGTGTGAAATACAGCCACCCCTTGTCTGTTCCCTGGTGACAGCCGTGTGAGTTGTATCTGAGGGGCTCATGAGTGCTTGTGAGTGGGCTCAGCAGACCTGCAAGCTTGCCCACACTGGGCCGGGCCCCCTTCCTGGCCCGACCCAGAGTGCAGTGCTGGCCACTTATTTCCCCGCTAGGGTGCTTCTTGCCTTTTGCTGCTGACTTGTTCTCTGACTGAGTGGAGGTCAGAGGCTGTGCTGGCATTTCTAAGATGTTCAGCTACATGTGACTTGACACTCGAATCCTGGCAATGCCCATGAACCTGTCATGTGGCGTCTTTCTCTGCAGGTGTGAAGGAGTTTTTTGAGCACATTGAAGTAGAAAGGCTGAAAGACGTGGAACACATGGTCAGGTGGTACCTTGCCATTGGGCCTCTGCTGACCAAGGTGGAGGGCCTGGTCGTCCATACCAACACAGGCAAGGCCCCCAAGCTGCTGTCCTACTACGAGTACTGGGAAAACAAGATTTACGAGGTCCTGACCAAGCTCATCCTGAAGTAAGTCAGACTTCATGTCAGTGTCTAAAACCAGGTGTGGAGATCAAAATACTTTACACATACGAGCAGGTCAGAACTGAACTGCTTTGGCAGTCATCGTCGCTGTTTAGGGTCTTCCGACTAAAAATGAGCAGCCTCCCCAAAGCAGAAATGAGTGATTTGTAACATTTGAGCCAGAAAAATAACATCCTCACTCATTCCAAATGTGCCGTTATAACCTTAGAGTATTTATTCCTTTGAGTAAAAGTTTTCCACGTGACCATGCTCTAGTCGTTTCTGTCAACTGTTGGATTTAGTCCACTGACTGTTTTTGATTAATCCCTTCTAGGAATTTGCAGTCTTTCAATTCTTTAGTCCTCGGAAATGTCCCTTTGTTCCAAACGGAAACCATTCTGACTGCACCGGAGATCATCCTTCACCCCAACGCCAATGAGATCGACAAAATGTGTGTCCACTGTGTGCGAAGTTGCGTGGAAATCACCAGGGTGAGGGCTGAGGGGCCACGCCGAGTCAGGTGGCTGGGCCAGTGAGCAGGGAGTTCTGCGTCTGGGTCCATGGTACACGCTGCTCTGTGGCCTGTGTCCAGGTGTCTCAGTCCCCACCTAGCTTCTCTGCTGGTCTCCAAGCCCTGGGGTGTCCTCAGCTGACCCCGACCCCTTCATTCTCTTGTCTGCTCTCCATATCATCACGAAGAGTGTCTCGGCTCCTCCAGCATCAACCACGCGAGGTGGCACACATTTCCATTCTCACCAACCCTCTCCCACGATCCACATCACTAGTCACTTCCAAGTTCCCGACCCCTTGGACTATAGACTTGGCTTGTCCATGGTGGAGTTCTTGACTTCCTGCCTTGCAAACTGATGCTGCCCAGTTTTCCTGCTTCAGGAAATGGTGCCCACATCGACCACTGCTTGAGCCAACAACCCGGGAGCCCGCCATTTCTTCCTTTTTTCTTTTGCCCTCCACCTTCAGCTCGTCAGTGATTTCGACTTGCCTCCTGTCTGTCCGCTTGTCTCCCAGGCTGTGGGTCTGGCCAGGCTGCCAGCATCTCTCACCTGGATGGCTGCAGTGACTTTCTTCAGGCATCCTCCACATAGGCGGACAGAACCAGCTTTTAAAATTGAGCCTGCTCATGTCGTCCCTGGTCTAAATCCCTGACAGCTTCACACTGCTTCAGAACCTCATTAGTCTCCCCACGATGCCCCAGAGCCCCTTCGCCATCTACATCTGCTCAGATCTCAGCCCTGCCTCTACTGTGCTCTCCTGTGTTCTGCGTCCAGCACCTCCAGCAGGTCGACGTGGGTCACTGGCATTTCCTCTGCCTGGAATTGTCTGCCCAGGGCCCTTGCTTGATGGTCCTTCTCATTCTTTTCTTTTACATCACCTGGTCCCATCCTCTTCCTAACTTGATCACCTCTGACACTTCCTTATTTATTTGCTCACTCTCCTGTCTCTTCTCATGCCTACAACCCAGTTCCCTGAGGCCTTGGACTTGGTGTGCTGGTCTACTGCTGACTCCCCAGCACCTAGGATGGCACCTCACATGGCGTCTCACATGAACCTGGCTCTGGGTCAATGCTATTGTATGAATGTTTTTACCCAAAATTCCGAAGTCTCTGTCTTATGACAAAAGAAATATAAGGCCATCTTTGTGGGCAAAGGATGTCAGGCCTCTCCACACACTAACATCTTCATGTTCAGAAAGTCAAGCATGTCTTAGACTTTTTGTTTTTGCAGAGTGTAGATGTTACCAACAGGAAATTTGTTTTCACCATATTAGAAATTAATGAATAAGCTGAACATACTTAGTGTTCTGGGCAAGAGCTTCTTTTATATAAATTCTCTTAAGTTACAGATGTTACACCATCAACTCTTTGGGTGGGGAAACAAAACCATTTCCAAGGAGTAAGTAAATAGAGGAAATGCTCTCCATGAAACACCACAGGTATTAATTACAACATTTCACACTGACTTAACGGCCTCCCACACCAGTAGATGTGCTTGGAGCTTTTGATGAAGCTAGTGTTCTTCTATCTTCATAAATACTATCAAGTGAAATAAATTTTTCACTATCTTGGAAAACGTTGGAAAGGCACTTTATAAACAAAATCTCTGCAAATAAGCCTTTATGACAAGGTAATGGTGTGGTTTAACCACAGCATGTTTTTTCTACTTTGGGAGTCACATTTCATAACTGAAAACAAAATGAGTGAAAGTTTTTTAACTACAATCCTCTTGACCTCATTTCTCAAGAGGAAATGATAATACAAGCCACTCTCTGGAACCATTGGGAAGATTAAATAATGTGGCACTTGTCGACAACTTTAAGCCTCAGTGACTGAAAACAATCCTCCTTTCACTCATGGTGCTGTGGGTTGGGTTCTGCTGAGTGGTTCTTCTGGTCTTGTTTGTGCTCACTCGTGCGTGTAGCAGCTGCTGACCTCAGTCACACATCCAATGACTGGCTGGCCCTGGGGGGCATCTGGCTTCTCCTGAGTCTGGCTTACCGTCATCCTCTGGGCCAGCTCCGGTGCATCCCTCTGCTGGCTGCAAGACTTCAAGAGCATGAGAATGGAAGCCGCAGGTCAACTTGAGCCCTTGGTTTGGAATTTATGCAATGTCCCTTCTGCCCCTCTCTCTTGGACAAGTTGAGTCCCGGGTTAACACACTCACCTGGATGGGAGAAGCAGGCGTTGTGGTCATTTTTACAATCTAACCCTACTAATAAGTCATTTCTATTACTAGGTAGAGTTATGTATACTAACGAATACTAATATATACATATGGAGTCAAATAGATACTAAAGTTCTGCCCCCCTCCCCCATTCTTATTTTGCCAGCATTTTGTCCGATGGATGCATGGCAGCTGCATTGAGTGCCCTCCTCAGAAGGGGGAAGAAGAAGAGCTTGTTGTAATAAGCTTTTACAATGACATTTCTCTGAACCCCCAGATAACTGAGCAAGCACTTATGATCCCTCAAAACATCCACAGGATTCTGCTCAATCTTACAAAATACCTACAAAAATGGAAGAGGTATCGCCCCCTCTGGAAATTAGACAAAACTATTGTGATGGAGAAATTTGCTGCCAAGAAACCCCCCTGTGTGGCGTATGATGAAAAACTGCAGTTCTATTCCAAGATTGCCTCTGACGTCCTACGCCACCCTTTAATTAAGGACGAGCAGTGCATCCGGCTTCAACTAGGGCCTCTGGCAAGCACAGTGCGGGAAAATGCCAAGTCTTGGGTGGTTTCACTTGGGAAACTTCTCAATGAGTCCGCCAGGGAGGAACTCCACAATCTCCACGAAGAGACAGAGGTGGCTATCCCTGGGTTTCATCCAGATGACTTTTATGGAAGTTGGGTTCTCATTCCACAGATTTTGTGTCCTTTCAACTTTGTTTTCTAGAACCTGGCCAAACAGCTGAAGAAGACCCCCAGCACTCTTGAAGACCTCAAGCTTGTTCTTGCCACAATTGCAGAGATCAGGAGTAAGTCTTTGGTCATGGAATTAAGATACAGGGATGTTCAGGAGAGGTACCGCACCTTGGCGATGTACAATATCTTTGTAAGTGAATATCCATTTTCTTTCTTGACCTTTGGTTTATCAGCAAGAAAAAAATTGAGTGCTCCAGAGCATTCCCTAAATTAAAGATAACTTTTTATTTTAAAGTTTTATTTATATTTGCATATAGAACTTGAGGTATAGGCGAGAGGTGCAGGGGTGGTGAGAGGATTCACCATAGACAGAGTGGGGAGCAGAACAGGCAGGCTGATGAAGTACACCACTGAGGGGAGAAGCAGGGAAGGCAAGGAGAGGTCTGCTGCACCATGTAGGTCACCTCCTGCGCCAGGGATCCATCTGGTACTGAAGCAGCTGTGGCTAGTTTGCAGTGCTGTGCTTTAACCCATTGTGCCACCAGGGAGGGGCTGTAAATTTCTTTTTTTTAAAGATTTATTTATTTATACATACAGAATTGGGGTACAGGCCAGATGTTAGGGGCTGTGAGAAGATTCACCAGAGACAGAGTGGGGAGCAAAAAAATGCAGATCAATGAAATACACAGGTGAGGGGAGAAGCAGGCAAGACATGAGAGGTCTGCCGTGTGGGTCACTTCCCTGGCTGGGGATCGAACTTGAGCTGAGGTGGCTGCAGCTAGTTTCACAGTGCTGCATTTTAACCCATTGCGCCACCAGAGAGGGCCCCCATTGTGAATTTCTTATGGAAGTTTCTTGACAACACCATGGAAATCATCTTTTTATTATATTTTTTCCTACCACCATACCTGTGTCCCCCTATCTTGCTCTACCTCTCCTCCCTCTTGGCCTCAGAGTCCTCAGGGTGTTTGTTGAAGCCCACTGGTTTTGGAAAGTGTTTCATGTTATCAAGTTGCCTGCTATACAAGTGTCCAACATTTGTTTTTATTATTCTGATTTTTCTGCACATCATTCTCTCATATTCCCCATTCCCTTCCTTTTGTTGAAAATGGCTCCTTTCCACCCTTTCTCGTGGCTGTATAGTACTCCGTGGTGTGGATATACCACATCTTCATGAACTAGCCATCTCTCCATGGACATTCAGGCTGCTTTTGTGTCCTGGTTATTGTGCACACTGCTGCTGTGAATGGTTTTTTTGTATTGATGATTCACTATCTTTGGGTATTTGCCCAAGGTAGGCTTGCTGGGTCATCCAGTTCTCTCCATTGCTTCTGGGTGTCTGCTGTCACCCAGAAGTGTGTTAGGAAGTCAGTTATAGTACTCCTTAACTCTTTTAGTTCTGATCATTGCTGCCACACATTTCTTTACCTGTATCTGTTGTCCTATGTCCTCTGTGCTTTTTGAGTTCCATAAACATTGTCACAACTGTGACCTTGACCTCCTCTTCTGCCACATTTGCCATCTTGCTAGCTTGGGGCTTTCCTCTGGGATACTTTTTGCTTAGGTATTTGTTGTGTTCTCTGTCTCCTCATTTATAATTTCTAATGGGTTGTAATAAGGGTAGATGTTTGTCCCTGTTGAAGTAATCTGGGGACTGGTATTGTGAGAAGTGGTGGGTATACAGAAGGACAGGCATTGGGGAACCCAAGACTGACCCCCAGGAAGGAAGCACGGGACCCAGACTTCCTGCTGTGCTCTGGATGCCAGCTGTATATGGGGGTCCACAGAAACCCCTCTGCTGGGGTGGTGTCTCTACTCCAGGCCACTTTTCAGCACAAGCTATAGGGCTGGGCATGGGCTGCAGTTACAGGCTGGGAGCTCCCCTCTTCTCTGCCAGCATAGAGCCTCCCCTGGGGTGTTTGCTGGTGCTATTGGCAGGGCTTGAGCTCTTGTTTGTCCAAGCATTTCTTTGTTCTGATTCCTGCTTGTGCTGGGTGGCAGGTCTGAACAGCCCCACTTGAGCTTTGCGTAGCTTCCTCTTGGGGAGAGCCAGGTCCTCCCCGTATTTATTCTGACTTCCTGCTGTTCTATATTGAGAGCATGGGCTCAAACCAGTCATCCTTGCTTTACACTCCCACCCCTGCAGCCCCAATAGTGCACCCTTCATCCTGGGTGCCAGCTCACACACCCTATTACTTGGTGCAGGGTCTCAGAGTCCCTGACATTGGGTCAAGGCTGTGGGGGGCTCTGCTCAGCCTTCCATGTTGCGCTGTCACTATAAATACAGTCCACTTCAAGTTTTTCTTGATATTGGCCATGGGCTGTTGCTCTGGGTATGTGCTGTGGGTGGGGGTCCACATCCCTTCAGGGTCTGTGGCTGCCGTTTAGTTGTGAGGAGGGAGGAGGGAGCCCCACCTGTACTCCCAGCCCTCTAGATGCACATGTCTATTTTTCTTAAGCATTTTACAGTTGGGGTGAAACTAAGACCCTGTTGGAAATATTTCTCAATTAGGCTATCAGAGTCATTTATTGTCCTTAAGTCATAAAATGTAAATGTTAAGTAACCCTACAGTTACTTAGAATAGAGAAAGCATGGAGGTTGTTTCTGATCCTGTCTGGTGCACGCCACATTGCTGCAGCCTGCTCATGGCTGCACAGCCTTTCAGAGCTCCCTCTGCCTTCTTATTGTGTGTGCTAATTCCCTTTAATAAAGACAGAGCTCTTGCCAAAGTGATGGTGACAACAAGAGAGAGCGATGAGAAAAGAAACTGGCAGAAGACAGTACTTCAGTTCTCTCTTTGAAGTGTGGGTTTTGTGGCCCTTTGGAAGTCCACAGATGAGTTTCAAGGGGTCTGGCTCTTCCTGAAATCATTGTCACACTGCCCGTTTTTAAGCGAGAGACTCTCTGTGTCTCCCCAAGGCCTAGAGCTCAGCAAAAGTGTTTGAAACAGCCAAATCACATGGATGCCAAAGTACAGATTTTATGCAAGTTCAGACTTATAAAAGCGATTTGTTTCTTTTCTCTTGAGTTTTTCTCAGTTGCATCTTTGTGGGTATGTGATGCCTTGTGTCTCAGTGACTCTTATTTCTGTGAGTGAAGCAGGGGGAGACCTCTCAGGTACCCTGTGCTGAGGAGTGTAAGTACCCCTGGCTTGGCCACCAGGGGTTCTGCCCAGACCAGGAGATTTGCTGCAGCGAGGCCCGTCCTGATGAGGCCCAGGCGCCCACAGGGAAGCCTCTTGCAGAGGCCAGTAAAAGGACCAGCCACTCTTGAGCTGTGCCTTGTGTGCCATCACGGACTCCTGCACCTGCCTTTTACGCTCTTAATTTCAGGAATCATAATGTTCATTTCTGGAATTCCCATTTAAAGAAAAACACTTCCTGTTGCCTGCCGACATTCTCAATTTTAACTTTTGTCTTCCTTATTAAGTTAAAGGTGTGTCTTACTTAAGAACTGGATAGAAAGTGAGACTACACTATGACTCAAAGATCTGTTTTTTTCTTCAAATTCTTTTTCTTGGAGAGTTTTAGAGGTCATATATATTGAGTTTTAGAGAACTAAAAGCTTTTGCTGTCTTCTCCTCTCCTCTTCTGGGACCCCAGTCACACACGATGCTCTTACCTCTTTTCCTGTCTTGTCTTTCGGTGGCTCTTTGACCCAACATTTCAGTTCATTAATTTTCTCTTTTGTTGTATCTGAGCTGCTGATACTGGTTCCTTAATCTACCTTTTGAGCTCTTAATTTCAAGAATTGTAACAATCATATCTACAATCTCCTTTTAAAACAATTTTCTGTTCTTTGCCAAGATCTTCAATTTTATCTTGTTTTCCTTACACCTGACTTAGAGGCTAC